TTTTTAGATATGCTTGTATACATATACATACGTATGTATAAGTTTATGTATCTAGCCTTACACGTTGACTCCGGGATGCATTCCCCAAACCCCTCCAAGCCTTATGCACCCACCGTTTCAGCCGCTTCCGGCAGGTCAGACAGACCCTCACACGTGGGTGTCCCGAATGGTACAGGCAACGGTGTGCTCCGCGGAGCGAAACATGATATAGCTGGAACCTTGAGTTGCATGGTACACGTGGGCCTTTTGCTCGCCTTGCTGCAAGAAGGCCTTTCGCGTCCCAGACCATCACAAACTGGCTGGACAACTCACTCTCCGTGGTCAGGTTCTCAGTTAAGTGACCGGCAAATCTTTCTTCACCCACAACCCTACACTATAAACCCTGTAAACCCAAGACCCCACCCCCCTACTGTCACGTAGCAAGCCAACCCGGAGTCTCCTAAACCCAAAAAATGGCCCACACACCCTACTGTATCTCAGCGTGTTTAGAGCCCTTAGATGATGGGGCTGTACTTCCTGGTCTCCACCTGGCTTCTGTGAGTTGGGGCTCGGTATGTGGTAGAGTGGAAAGCCGGTTGTGCGTGTGGGTCCATCCTCTACGTGCATAGGTGTGCAAAATCCTAAACCCCGATTCCTAAACCCGTGGTTTTGAAGCCTAGGCCGTGGGATGCAAAGCACCCACTTTCAACAGCAACTAGGCCGGGTGACAACAACAGAACTATGAACCCTAAGCCCGATGCACGCTCTCCCCTATAAACATGTAAGCCCTACAATAGGGTTTAGAGTTCAGGGTTGAGGGGCCATGTAAACCCAAAAGACCATAAAAGTAGCATGTAAACCCTCTCAAACCCTTTGCAAACTGTGAACCCTAAAAACCCCATAAACCCTAACAGCAACAGCATGTTAACCCTAAAACCCCTATCAACCCCTTGTAACACCCCTGTAAAGCCTTCATACACCCTATAAACCATAAAAAGCATGTAAACCCTGTAAGAACCTTTAGCAGCCCTTTCATAAACCTCTTATTAAACCCCTTATATAAACCCTTTATCAACCCTACACAAAACCCCCCATATAAACCCCGTCACAAAACCCTTAATACACCCTGTAAAACCTCCGCAAAAAACAGATCTACATCACCTGGGCCTGCCGCCTCATCTTCCGGGGCATGCCATGGCTTCTGGACAGGGTTTAGGGTTTGAGGGTTTCGGGTTTAGGGTTTAGGCTATGAAAAATCAACTCCTTGGCCAAGCCTTTGTGTATTCCACTTGCTCGTTTGTGAAAGTATGTGAGATTATTGTATTCATAACATATTTCTTGGACGTGGCACTATGATGTTGTAATAGAATTCGACATACGAGAATCTACCAACAATGATGATACTGTATACTGCGATTTGCCTTGTACGGTTATTCTTCAGGGGTCGCGAATGTCGTGTTGGAACCTCTTTGCGGCAGTTCGAACTCGAACGTTATGTAAGGAGTTGGTTTCGCAAACCCTGACGGAGAAGATATCCGAACGATCGCCATCGCCTCTGCACAGTACATGTGCCCGGCAAACTGGAACATCATGATCAGCCTGATACACCAACTACCACTGACTCTATTTACCTAAAGTCTTGTAGTAACTGCCCCTAACTAGTACGGTGACAACTTTAAGAATATGTGGAGGGCTGGAAGGCTGGAGGGCCTTCAGCCCTGCTGGAGGGCTGGAGGCTGGAGGGCTGCCCCTACCCTAGCTGTCTTAGATTAAACGTCCGGGAGTTTTGTTTAAAACATGTCACCGTAGGTATCACCCATAAAACTGTAGGTACAGAGGGTCCCAAGTATGTCTAAACCCTAAACCCTAAACCCTAAACCCTAAACCCTAAACCCTAAACCCTAAACCCTAAACCCTAAACCCTAAACCCTGCACCAGGAGCTGTTCAATCTCATGCTGCCGTTCACTTCTACGGCTCGTGTGCTCTTTGTCTGCACCGCTAGTGCCAAGTTCTCCCAAGGCTTGCCATGACCAGGGTTTAGGGTTTAGGGTTTAGGGTTTAGGGTTTAGGGTTTAGGGTTTAGGGTTTAGGGTTTAGGGTTGGAGTGTAGTCAGAAGGGCCTGACGGCTTTCATGTGACACCCCAAACGAGTCTTGCATGCATGTTTCATAAATGACTCTGTACATACACATGGCTATAGTATGCGTCTCTCCTTGTCTCTCTCTCTCTCTCTTTTCTTACTCTCTTTTCTCTCTCCGTCGCTCTGTTTTTCTCGCTCTCTCTCTCTCTCTCTCTCTCTCTCTCTCTCTCGCTTCTCCATTGTACATACTGCAGGTACGCACCAAGAGAGCTGGCAAAGTGATGCGCAGCACCAACAGAACACAGATGCAAGTTGGCCTCAAATGTGGTGTCCTTGAGGATGGTGCCATTCGGAAGCCAAGTGCGACTCACCTTCTATGAGAAGTGCTTCGCGCTCACCGGCGTCTGGGATTGCAAGAAGAAGTCAACCCATAAACCCTAAACTCTAAACCCTAACTTCTCGTTTTCATTGCTGGTGTACAACGAACCTGGGCAGCATGAGCTCTTTCCCGGCACGCTCACCCAAGCCTGGATGCAAAAATTGCTGGTGCCCCAACGAGGTAGGCTTCGGTGTTCTCTTCGGTTCACATGCAACAACCGTCGGTATGCCCTAAACCCTGAACCCTAAACCCTAAACCCTAAACCCTCAACCCTAAACCCTAAACCCTGCCCAGGAAAGCTGATGTTTGCCAGCCTGTTTGCGCTCTTCGCCCGCATGCTCCTGAATCTGAGCCTCGGGATCGATCAGCCACAGACTTCAGAGATCTGATAAGGCTTTTGGGATGTTCCCCATTAATTATGCTTTCAGCTCCTTAATAAGGTTTAGGGTTTGGGGTTTCCACTAGGAATTGGGATGTTCTCCTCAATAGAGATTCTAATCGTGGGGGGGTACTAGAATCCCTATGAAGGACTGTTAGTATAAGGGGGAACATCCCAAGCTAGGCATGTAGTTGTGTCAGGGGGGGAGCTCTGAAACTGGCAAGAGATTGCCCGTGAATGGGTGTAGTAGTTTTGAAACACTTAAGAAAGGAGAGGCCGTCTGATTCGGTTGATTGTTCATGTACTACGCAAGGTCTCCATACCGTGAACCCTATGCATTCCAAAGCCCTGCATGCAATCCTACAATCCCAAAACCTGAAATGCGTTTGCGTGTTATTGGTGCGGGTGCTTCTTGTGCTACAAGTGTCTCGAAGTCCCTTGAGGAGCCGGGCAACTGCTAACACAAACATTTGCAGCCTATGCCTTGTCATCCTCCCCTCCACCTGCTGCCCCCTCCGAACCCGACAGCAGGGACCTAAATAACCAGCAGCCGAAAGCCCAAGGAAGGACCCGAATCTGTCGGCGGCCGACATTCCCGTGGATCCCAAGGACGCGGTGATCTTTTCCAGCAATGAGAGGGTTGATCTGTCCAGGTGGATGTAGGCTAGGTTGGGGACACTTGGGACACGAACTTTGGACCCGTTTGTCATGTTTCCCTCGGCCCTTTCAGCCCGAAAATGGGGCCCTGGCCCCTAATTCCTATACCCTTTAAAACCCTAAACCTTCTATGCCCTAAACAACCGAGCCAGAAACAGCCAGCCTGAACTCTAAATTTCCAAGGATGGGTGCTGCGGTGCTACCTTGGAAACCACTGGTCTGGCTCCTGGCCATGCGCGTGCGCCCGCGACTGCGGACCTCGAACATGCGACTTCTTCTGGCCACCGGGCCGTTCTATGAGCTTACAGGGCTTACAAGGGACTCTATTTACCTAGAGTTTAGTAGTAACTACCCTTATGATTAGTAGGTTTACAAGTAACTACCCTAAAGTAGCAGGTTTAGTAGTAGCTACCCTTAGCTGGTAGGCATAGCCCATAAACTGTAGAGGGTCCCAGGTGGTTTGGAGGGCTCATAGCGTGCGTCGGGTTTCTAGGGTTTGTAAGTTTTAACAGCTTCTGGGCTCTTCTTTGTGTAGGTTACCACAAGAACCCTCGCAGTGGGCAAAACAGACGCACTACAAATGCACAGCAGATTTTGGGCTATTATCAGTTCGGGGAGACGTCCGAAGCCAAGACCTGATCTCTGTAGTTTATATAGATTCTATAGGGCACCAGAGGCACAGAAAAAATCTATGCTCCCCACTCACGCCCACCCAACATTAAATACGGTCCCTTCAGCCCTATCCGAAGTATAAAGCGGTGTCCGGGCCAGAGTTTGTCATTGTTTTGGGAGGTGTTTCGGGGAGGGGAGTTGCGCTCGGCTGGTTGCGATGATGAAAAGAGATCAACTGATCAAAGCCAACCCAAGCGTATAGGGAAACATACACGGTCGTGCAAATGCAATTTGCTACCGACAGGTTTCGGCACGTTTGGGGTTTTGCTCTGAAACCCAGGATGGAGACATCACGATTGGCGATCTGCCACTGACACACTTTGCATTTGCCATGTGTAGCGGGTGGAACATTTTGCCATTCGTAGTTGTTCTGTGCTTTACTTTCCTCTTCTGGGAACACGTGCGACGCAGGAATGGGAATGCATGGAAACAACCATTCGCAACCAGCATGTTTCAGGGTTTGTTGTGGGAACATGTGCTCCGGGAATTACCTGAAACCATAACAAACTGAGCAGAAGCCTCACCCCGTTGGTTTCCAATCCACTTCTCCCTAGTTCCGAAAGGGGCCTCGTGGGGAGGGTCGCTGGATGTTTGTTTTACTATTGGGGGGGGGGGGTTGGGGGGGAGAGGAGATTATAAACCCTAAACCCCCCAAAAACACTACGCATTCTCTGCCCTGTAGCCGTGCAACTTAAGCAGGTGTCCCAAGAAAAGCGAAGTGTCCTCGCCTTCAAAAGGCAAATTGCGTTTTTTTGATGAAAGTCTGAAATCAAAACCCCCGAGTCAGGGGTGGCCTTTTCTCTTAGCTGCCATTCTCTGCAAGGCAGACAAGTGCCTGTCCTTCGCCATCTACATGAGCTTGATCTCGGCTCCTCGGAATCCCAATTGTAACGCTTTGTTTTTGGGCATTGCGGAGTCTTGCCTTAAGCTGATGAAGGTGCCCCTGCGGCTGATCAACATCCAGCTGCGCACTGTGCTGGCGGTTGGGGGCGTTGGCGGGCTTGCCATTGGTCTGGCCCTACAGAATCTGGTTCAGAATCTGATTTCTGGGATTCTTGGCTTGTTCAGAACGCCCGACATCTGAAGAGTCCAGACCTCAGCCGCATTGTCATCTGAAAAGGCCCTTCCCGTTCCCCAAAATACAAAAACACCGAGAAGCTTTTCAAGTTCTCAAACCTGAAGTGCCCCTTTAAAAGAGCCGAGAGCCCTGGATCTCAACAGCCACACCCACAGGTTAGTAGTAACCGTAAGTAGAAGGGTTTAGGGTTTAGGGTTTAGTAGGTAATGCCCTGGCCTCAGTTCCAGTCTTAAAAAAAGTAGGTATAACCCATAAAACTGTATGCAGAGAGGGGATCGCAGGTAAACTCTCATGTGCCCCAAGCCTACAGACCCCCAACCTCCTTCTCCAAATGGACCTCAACCTAAGTTCCCCCCCCCCCCCCTATTTCAGGATCCTGATCTACACCAACGCCACCATCTGCGAGGGCTTGGAGGTCGAACTGCAGGACGTGAAGCTGCAAGGCGTCGTCTCTGAGGCTTCTTGGCTCATGTCCGAGGAGGAGGTTTAGGGTTTAGGGTTTCGGGTTTTGGGTTTTAGGGTTTAGGGTTTAGGGTTTCGCTGAATCAGAATATCCCCCTTTCCGCCTCTTGAAGTAGTGATTTCTCATGCCGGAATCTATCTGCAGGGTACCCCAAACCCAGGGATTTGCCCGGCTGAAATCCCATGAGACTCTCCAGAAGATTCAGCAAGCGAGATGATATGGATATTGATATGGCCCCCCCGGCACCGTCTGGCATCTCGGCAGGGCCCGTCATATGCAGTAAGCACCATGTAGCATCTTACATGGGTTTTTGGGGGGTTTAGGGGTTTAGGGTTTAGGGTTTCCTCCAAAGTCCGTTGCTCAAAAGGGTTTAGGGTTTAGGGGCCCCCAATTCTGAAGCCAGGTGGGGTGGTTCAATACGACGGTGAACGGCTACGACGGGACGCGTGTCACTGTCCCCAACCGGCGGATTCTGGACGGCACGGTCATCGACAAGACCAACAAGCGGTTCCGGGTGTGTCAGAAGCAGCTTGCCACTTGGCCAAGGGTAGATGTGTCTGTTTAGGAGTGTCTAGATAGGGTTGCAGGGAACCGCTACACAAAAGCCTTGAAGCGCCAAAGCCGTGGCATTCCCGCAAGGTGGTTACGTTCGATGACCCCTCCAGATTAGCCGAGCTTGCGCCGGCCTCAAGTAGCGATGTTCGATCATGGTTCGCCAACTTGTATAGGGCTTAGGCCTTCGAAAGGGTTTGCGGCTAGCAGCCCCATATTTCTTACCATGCAGCTGTGTTTACATTTTTCACATGGCTGGGATATGACCCGTGGTTTTGAAGCCCGGTGTCAATCCCTGAACCCCAAAATCCCTTTCCAGCTTCCATCATTCCCAAGTTCAAAGGCGAACAGACCATTGTCAGAGCATGTGCCGAGTCCCCGCACACTTCTCTCCCACAAAAAGGAAGGACTTCGGACTCAGGGCTACCCCCTGGTTCTTCGTAGGGAATGGGAATATAAGGGCCCTTTGATTTCTATAACCTTTAAGGGATGATATAGGGTACCTCATTCCTTCATTCCTTACTTAGCAGCCAGGCTAACTCGCGTGTGTTGACTGGTGGAAGGGGCAGGCATTGAAAATAGTTCGAGCTCTCAGAAGTGGGTCTCTCCGCCCCTCACCCCCCCCCCCCCCCTGCTTATCAGTCCTTAGTATAAGCAGGAACATCCCAACCTAACTATACCTGCTAAGGGCCACTCTGCCAGACTATAGCTGCTAAGGGCCACTCTGCCAGACGGTTTTTGTCTTGCTGGGAAAGTTCCATAAGCCCGAACCCCTAAAATCCGTTGCAGGTCTATGCGGTCCAGGAGGACCTCCGCAACAACCCCTTCGTGCTGCAAAAAGCCTCCGTCCGGTCCTTAAGCTTCCTGAGGCGTTTGGCATACCAAGAGGGGCTTATAAGGCCTTTATAAGGGTTGAGGTCCCCATGGATGGTCTTGAGAAGTCGCGTAGAGCTCCAAAAGAGCCGTCAGAAACCTCGATTCGTAGTAGGTCCGAGATCATGTGTCCCAACTTGTTACCCTGCATTGTGGCTGGCCTGCTTGGGGGTGGCCAAAATGTGTGTGAGGTGCTGAGGATACGGACTGCCAACAGAGGCCTTGGTGGTGTGGCGTACTGGCATGGTCTCGACGTAGTAGATCATTTGAGTGAAGCTTGGGTGTTGCATCGAATGTCTAAGTGTAGGGAGGTAGAAGCCCAACCCTTGGGCTGTTGCGAGTTAGGGCTTAGGTGTCGCTGAACGTACCCGGAAGGACACATCAAAATCTACGAGCCACAGTTCGCATTCGCGGGATGGCCCCGTGCTCAGTCTTTGCCCACATGATTAAAGGGCCGAAATCAACAGGACCTCAACAATGCTACAGGCTGCTGGGCTCAGCAGGGTCGTACAGTTCGTATGATCCTGACAGGGGGAGCTGAGGCCATTCGGGTGCCAGCGAGCACAGACAAAAGCGAGTCTCTCAAGTGCTCAAGACATGCGGCCAAGAGTTGCATTCCATGTGCGCGCCGCATCAACTACAAGGTTTTTGCAGGATGGGGCTATTATACCCCATAACCCCTTACAAAGGCCCTCTATCGGGTTGAATATGGGGATTATCAGGCCGAATACTTCAGGCCGAATGGCCCCATCCAGGTTGAGTGCCCGAAGTTAGCCAGGGAAACGCTGCTACCACGGTTCCAGGTCCGAGTTTGGAGCTCAATTCTTCCTCCGCGCCTACATGGAGAAGTCCCTGCAGGCTCGCCCGCTCTCTTGCATGTCCTTGGCGCACAAGAAAGGGACATCTATGTAAGAAAGGCAGTCCTGGACCAGTAGAGATGCTTGTTGTGGACGGATGCGATACACCACCGGGCCACACGAATGCCACACTGGGCAAGCGGCAACATCTCAACCTTCAGTACCGGATGTAGGGCTGAGGAATAATTAAGCCTTCCCCCCAACGAGCCAATAACATAGACAAGAGCTCCGCAGCTCTTCAGGGGGATCGCTTTCTGAACCAGCAGAGCAAGCTTCTCATCGACGTGCGGCTTGGCGATCATGACCTGAAGACTAGATCTGATGAGTTCCATAGCCTTTCCCCAATGTTCTACTGAGAGAGGAGAGAATGCAAGGTCAACAGTCGAGTGCGGCAAGCCAGCTGGGACCTTTCTTAGGGGCTAGAATGTATACCCTCTGCTTCAACCCAGGCTAAAAGCTCGCCTTGTATGAAGGGCTGGACAAGTAAGGAATGCTAAGCCCAGTGAAGGCATAGCCCCCGAACCCCACGTAATTGCGGTTGCGCCCTGCGAGCAGATCGGATTTAATGAACTTCTGCGGCAACTCAAGGTGAACCCTCAGCCCATACCCCTTTGCGCCCTTTGCGTCGGCGACTTGACCCAAGCGATTCGAAACTCATATGGGCGCATGCATTCCCTTCACAGGAGCCGGCGGATCCGAGAGTTCGGAGGTCGCATAGGCTGGCCGGGTTCGAGTTAAGGGTTTCTTAGGTGTTTTTTGTCTGGCTGATTGCTCCTGCAGTCCAGATGCCAAAAAAGGGTATGGCTGGTGCGTACCTCAATTGACCGGTGCCAGGTATGTCCTACATGTCTTGATTCATGATGTGAAATTGAACCTTTTTGGCTTGCGGTCCTTTTTCAGCCCGAAGACTCCTGGCGCTATACAGGTGGAATTCGAATAGAATTTCAGGGTGACGGGGCGTTGACGGGGCCGGAGGCTACGTTTCCCAGAACTTCTGTGTAACAAGTGCACCAAACCCCTCAGCCCCTCAACCCTCCTAAAACACCCTGAAGCCTATACTTTCAATTTCCCTAAACTCTCTAGTATCTATCTAAACCCAAGCTGAAAATATTTCCAGGCTTAGCCCTTCAGTCCTCCGGAGGAAGCCCACTGACGCCCTTGCTTCCTTCTCCAGCAGCGGCCGCCCCCAAGTACGATCGCAGCAAAAATCAGAAGCGCGTGTCGGATCATGGCCCGCGGCTGCCTACGATTGATTGGGTTTAGGGGTTAGGGGTTTAGGGTTTAGGGTTTAGGGTTTAGGAATAGTTTGTGCAGAAGATTGAGGTGCCCCAGCGTTGGGATATTTATTCTGCATACCCACGTAGCCACAGAGGAGCCAGTAGTCCGACTGCCTCATTCAGGACATGAAAGGGGCCCCATCAAGGCAAGCAGGGAAGTTTTCTTAGGGTTCAAGCTACCGACTCCAAATCTTCGCGCCCATGCCCGGAAAGTGTGCCTGTGAACGTGCCGCTAGACCCTAAACCCCAAGCCCCAGCTGTGCAGGAGGGAAAAAAATCTAAACCTAAACCGCTCGAACCTTGTTGTCGCGCCTGTAACCTCTCAGGCATCCTGTGCTGGCAGCAATGTATTGTCGATTCCTGCAAGAATGGCGACCATAATCCCAAATGCTGATCGTTATATAGGCTTCCAAAAACTATAGATCACACATAAGCCCCTTCTCGATGAATAATTCCTATATGAACCATAAACCCTGTTAGGGTTCCATTCGTCCCCGGTAGAGCGGTCGCTCCCAGAGTGGGACCGAAGCCCACTGCCTACCCCCTGCAGTTTCGCGCAAGGAGGCGGAGGTCAACCCTCAGGTGCTCGCGAGAAGGCCTGCGTTTGCGGCGATTCGGGCCCTTTCCTCCACCTCCCTCAGCCTCTGAGACTCCCAAGTGCAGGAGGTCTTGGGCAAAGCGGAGGGTAGGTGCGCAAGTGCCCTACCCACCGCATGCACAGTAAACCCTGGAGCCTCAGAGGCGGCAAAGTCGGCGCTTCTGGTGAACTGCTAGTTGTTTCCCAAAAGAGGGGTACTCCTAATATCCCCCACATATGACATACTCAAATCCTTACTCTGGGAACCAAAGGGTACCCCTACTTTCGGAAAATCCCTTTATCAGGCAGGCCTTGGCATGGCTGGCCAAGCAGCAGACGAGAAGGTCCGCTGATGTCAGGGTTTAGGGTTTAGGGTTTGGGGTTTGGGGTTTAGGGTTTTATGTTTATGGGGGTTTGTTCGTAACCCAGGGGGGCCATCTGTAGCAACTTTGGCCAGTGCCAGAATTTATGCGACTTTGAAGAAGTGCCAAGGAAAGCGTATGCATTACATTACCTGCACGAGCCAAGCTGAATAGCAGTGTCCAATTTTTGGGCAGTGCTGTGAATATGTGTGAGAGATTGTGAGAGTGCCGTGAATTGGTGTGAAAGTGCTGTGAATCGAGTGACCCATTCCAGGTCATTCTAGGTGTGGTGTACAGGTCTCTCTTTGAATGTTTTTAACCAGTTGCCACTTGAATTCCCCCAGAAAGGGCAACACCCAAGTTGTGCCCAGCGTCTATGGCTCTGGAGCACCGGAACAAATGCGAGACCCCTTGCATTCGTCCGTTGGCACGGGCAGGTTTTGGAAATCCTTGACGAGTGGCTGCCCTAAACCCTAAACCCTAAACCCTAAACCCTAAACCCTGCTTCAGCTTTCAAAGGGGTGCCCCCTCCAACTTAGAGGCTAGGAGCTGCCCCTCACGGACCTTGCAAGCTATCAAACCAAATCTCTTGGGAGGTTCACTTTTTAAACTAACAGTCCTTAACGGGGATTATAGTACCCCCGCCTCGGAGAATCCCGGGGTTAAGTTAGGGTTTTAGGGTGGGGATGTTCCCTCCCTTTTCTAACAGTCCATAGTAGGGATTAGTACCCCATATTGTAATCCCGCATGAGGGCTTCTAGTATAAGGGGGAACGTCCCACTCAATCTCCCACGCTTAAATCTCGAGCCACGTCGTGCCTCTCCTCTTGATTTCCTGCCCTCCAATGACCCAACGGCTTCTGCAACCTGCAAGGCGGTTTGGCTCCGCGCGCTTTGCACGGTGGAGTTGGATGGGGCCTCAGACACATCAGCTTTGGTGTTAGGGGATACTTGTAGCATTCGGTCAGCTTCAGGTTAGAGGCTTTCTACAGGGGTTAGGGACTAGGGGCTTCCCTGTGGCAATTCGATCATGATCGAAGCAGTCAACCTCGCAGAGTCGGAGCAGCCATTGTCCGAGGTTGGAGCCATGTCCTGGTCGCAAGATCCAGCCAGGCCTCCTTGCAATATTGCCACAGCTAAGTGCCACAGCGTCGGGGGCAGCTGAGACTAACCAACAGGTATGCGACACCTGTTTTCAGTGATGATTGTGGACTTGACCTTTACCAGTTCGATGCATGCCACGTTATACTCGTGCAAGGAACACTTTTGACATCAGAGCATGGCCTTGAAACGACACTGTTCCAGCAGGCGAGACTGCAGACGCGCCCGCGCAGATTGCAGCCCCGCAGGCCGAAGATGAGCGGAAGTGAGACATTTAGGCGCTTCATGCATCTAATTCTCAGGGCTCGGCCAATGGCAGGTCTTTTGGTTTCGGTGCTTGCTGCATATGCTTGGCCTTATCTCTGGGCCCTCATACAGTTTCGTGGCTTTGGACACTGCACGGTGTCAAAAATTTAGCGTTGAGGCTTCCCCAGACACCAGCGCAGCGAAGGCTGCGGAGGCCAGGCAGCACGCGCCTCTCGGGCAGCACTTTGACAGCCTGTCGCGCCAGAAATGCAATCTTAGGCTGGTGCCTTGATAGACCCTCTATGACTACTGCACCCTCCAGGTCCACCAAGCGAAAGGCTCGCTCACAACAATTGGGAGCGCCTCCAACTCCCTACATACCACCTGAACCCGGCAGTCACAAACTCCAGCATGTTCACCAGCATGGCCCATGAGGTCTCGACCTTTGCAGATTGAGACTATCCATGAGGAGCGGGAAAGGCATGCCCCGTACTGCGGTGAAGGGTGGAGGCATTACGCCGGTACTTTGAGATATTGGGCTGTGTATAAGGCTTGAGGGCAGAAATCTAGGTGCCAAGTTGGCCCCAACAAGCTCTGACATGGGCTTAGGGTGGATATCCTGGGACCCCTTTCGGAGCTTGCGGAACGTTGTGTCTTGGTCGGGCTTTTAAGGATGCATCTGATTTCTAGATTGGCACCATCAAATGTACTCCGGTGCACCGGAGTGCCTGGAAACCAAACCTTTAGCAGTTTAAGCTAACATGTTTTTGGTGCTTCCTGTCGGTCACAGGCACCAAGCCTGCCAACATATCGCCGAGGCGGCTCGCTGGGTTGCTGCAGTAGTTCACACTTCTTGGCCACTGGATCATTCAAACATACTGAGACTGGTTCGGCAGTGTTCCAGGTGCCAATGATGAAGTTCGTTCGTTTCGGGTCGATGATTTTCGCTTATTGGCACACGTGCGTGTGAGCCTTTATATGCGTCTGATCGGGTAAGGATACGTTTGCTTGACAGGGGCCCGTTGGATTTTTCAGGATGACTTGACTGCAGCCCATGTCGGGGTACACCAGGTCTTGGCGGCTCAGTTCGGGTGCCTGGCACTGAGCTACCCACACGGAGTGGCAAGTAGCAAGCAGGGGCTCAGGGTGTTTCAGGGCGGCAAGGTTATCATTTCTGACGGCGCATTGTTTGGATGACGAGCGTTGTGTCCGGGAACTAAGGGCAGTTCAGTTTAAGACGTTTTTGTGCCGGCTTTCCTTTGCTTTAAGCCTAAACCTTGCTACGGCTCGGGCCATTGTCAGGGCTCTTCTTGCGAACCCTCTGGTGAGGACTCGCAGTCAAGAGCCCTCCAGACCGGGACCTGGAACCCGGAAACCCTCAATCTTCAAGCATGTACTCAAGTAAACCCCTACAGTATCAGCCCCCTGAACCCTAAACCCTATAAACCCTAAACCCTAAGCGGACCTGTGGCATGCCGATTGCGCATCCCTGCTACAGTGTGGTGTGAGGCAATGAGGCGGTTGGCAAACCCTAATTAAGAACCCAGAGGGCCCGTTTGTAGTACCATTGTGGAAGCAGCTACCCAACAACCAATAGGGTTTTGGGGTATCGAATTCCAAAACGGTACTACAAGCAGACCCTTTGGGCAAGCTTGCAACCTAAACCACCGTGGTTGTTGGATCCATGCGGCTTGGGTTGACCTTGTTGTGCAGGTTGCATTTTTTTCGCTTCGAATTCGCTTGATCTGTGGGGTCGAAAGTGTGAAGTGTTGTGAGAGACACTTCGTGCCTGCATGCGGAACTGCTTTTGCGCGCTGATCTGCATGTTTCCTCATGAGTCCTTTGTTTAGGTTTAGGTCGGCCAACAGCCCGAGGGTGTCTTTGACATGTCGGTCACTCCCAGCTAGCTAATTTGATGCAACCCAAATCATGCAACCTACTGAAGCCCTGATGCAGAGGTGGGCCCCAGCCGCAGCGCCTCGAAGATCTCCTCGCCAGCAAGGCGCATTCACAGCTCGAACTCGGCTTTCAGCGTCATGTGGGACCTTGCCCCCCTATAGACCTCGATCCTTGCAAGCCACAGCTTCAAGAAGCAACGGACCTCAGCTCAGAGACCGGACCTCTGTCGCCTGGATGCGCAACCATCTGCCTCAGAACGTCCAACAACTTCCATTCAGTCTGAATCACCATTACAAGCGTTCGAGAGCTCATTTTGGTGTTCCGATGCGCTTAGCCCTGTGCACCTGACTTGTTGATGGCTCATCTATTGTAGCCCTAAACCCGAATTAAGCCAATAAACCCTAAGTACCCTAAACACCCTTTAAATCCTGAGGTATGTAACCAACAGCGCACGCCCCCCCAACATCGCCCCCTGCAGAGGAAGCAGAGATCACCCGCCTCCGTGAGGAGGCCCGCATAAGCCCTAAACTCGGGGATCCGAAGCATGGGCCCTTCTGTTACATAACCCTTTTACACATTATACATAAGAAGGGCCCCATACCTCGGATCCCTCTAAATCTCTTTAAACAAGGGTAAGGGACCATACTAAGGGCCCATGGAACCTGAAAAGCTCCAAACCGCAAAACCGTTGCAAAGTTGGATTCGCTTGCGCTCGGGTCCAAAGGATGTAGGTTGGGGGCCTTGGCGGACGCTTGATGAATCAGGAGGGCTGCATATATTGAAGTGGGCAGTTATAGCCTTGCGCTGATGTGCCAATGTGCTGTGGATGAGACGCCAGTAAAGTGTGGGAGCGTGTGCAGTGTGCCGGTGAGCGTGTGCGTGTGTGAGGCTCCTTTGATGACCTGCGTGTGCTTTGAAAACAACTCTTCACCTCCCCCTGTGCGAGAGTGAAAGACCAAAAACAACAGCGCCCACAAATTGCTTTGACTTCCTCCCACTAAAAGCATTCAGAGACTCGGAGAGCCCACGGGGAATGGAAGGTGGCAGCCCTGACCTCCGAGAAGGAGTCGGTCGAATCAGCCTTGGAGGCCGGACCCAGAGCATTTTTCGTCAAAAAAAGGACCTTCAGGACTCCAAGAATCGGATCTTCGAACCACTAAGACTAAAGGGTAACTCCGACGACCCCTCACCTAAACTTATTACCAGAAAATCCCCCCAAAATGTATTCGGCTTCGGGCAGGCATGGTGGGCACTTGCATACGCGTCAGGCGTAGGCAGGTTGCTGCGACGCGCAGCTTAGGAGCCTGCTCTCCGCCTCCCAGAATCTTGCGCCCATGCCGAACCGTCACGTACCCAAAAAACCTGGTTCAGGAGTTTAGGGGTTTAGGGTTTAGGGTTTGGGGTTTGGGGTTTAGGGTTTAGGGTTTGGGGTTTGGGGTTTAGGGTTTAGGGTTTAGGGTTTAGGGTTTGGGAACATCCCAAGGATAATCCTCAAGCGCTAGACCAGGCTGCAGAGGCCAAGCTGGCCGAGGCGGCGAAAGTGAAGTCCAAGCGCTTGGACTCGGCACAGGGGGAGGCGATGGTGGGGCGGGGCGCAGAGGGTTTAGGGTTTAGGGTTTAGGGTTTGGGGCTTTAGGGTTTAGGGTTTAGGGTGGGGGGTTTCCAAGAATCATAGGCAGAAGGTTGAAGGCTATTTTGGGCGTATGCCTCGCATGCTGGAAGCAAGCAACGCTGCAATCGATACTTTGCCCTCCTGTGGCAAGATTTTTCGCTCCTCCAAGCCTGGTTCTACGGGGCGGCAAGACCCAAACACCCGGCGTGCGCAAGGAGCTTGCTCCTCCGGCGCCACCCGGCGAGACAGTGGTGCAGGTGCGGCTCTGAGATCTTCTATCCCGTCCAGGAAATGGAATCCTGCTTCCCAGTCCCGGAAGGCCCGGGCACGTACCAGCAATAGGTACATCTCCATGTTTCTTGATCATGCGCTCTAAGACCCCTTTGGCTCTCTAGTCATTACAGTACCTGCCGAGTGTTGAATGAGACAGCCATATAGCATACAGAGGGGTCGCATTGAAATCTTGAGGACGCCCCCGTTCACCCAGCGGCGGCTACACTGACAGCGGACCTTTCGGCTGAAAATGCAGGCGGGCGGGTGGAACTGAAGTGTCCCCTTCCCTTCCAACAGCCGGAAAGCCCATAATTTCTTGTCCTAAACATTGCGCAGAAATGCTTCGCCCTCAAAAACCTCCAATCGGCTCACGGGTAGCGGTTGGGATCTCCGCGTAGCAGCCCCCCCACACCAGCCCAACAGGACTTCCTGGCGTGCAGGGGAGTGGACCACGCGAACAGGCTGGGCCTGCGAGAACACTGGGAGTCCCCGGCCCGAAAGCTTCATGTCACGAAGAAGGGACTTCCCATCCATCGTGATTTTTCAGTTGCCGCCTGAAGCTTGACAGCCTCTCGCGGGCTGCTGCCTGGACCATCGTTTCCAGCTCTAGTGACTTTAGTTCGTGTTTCTGGTCTCATGTTCCTCCTTGACTTTCTACAGCGGCACCCTTCGGGCAGGTTGCAGCGATCCGACGGGAAAGAGAGGAGGCGTGGGCATTGAGAAATGACCTGGTGCACGTGAGATGGAGAAGGGGCGTGAAGAAGTACACAGCTGCGATACACCTCAATTCAATGTAAAGCCGGCGCTCCCTAAACCCTAAACCCTAAACCCTAAACCCTAAACCCTAAACCCTAAACCATCCTAAACCCTAAACCCTATTTTGTAAAGTTCAGGGCATCCGCTCCGAATCCATGCGCGAGATGTTCTTGGGCTGCGTCGAGCTGTGCCGGCCCCAGATGACACTTGCTGCAGACAACCCACCCGGTGCTGATAGCTTTCAGCAATACTGGGTTTTTTTGTCAGGGCCGTGCGCGCGATGCAGCTGCGCGCTTTGGCGCCCTCCCGGAACTGTCTGACTCCCGAATGACCCTAGCTATTTCGACATACTTGAAGTGTGGGCCTAGGGTGCGGGTACGGGCGGTGTGGTCAGGATCCCAATACTGCGGATAAAATCTTTTAGTGAGGACTTCTAACCAGTATGGTATCTGCATTCCGCGACGTCTTCCTTGTGCTAGAATACGGTCCTTAAAGGCAGCTGTAAAAACCACACTATGTGTTGGTTCCGCTCTGGGGGCCATAAATACTTGTTTAAGGGTTTTATGCTGGGCGTTGAGGATGTGTGTGGATGGTAGGGTTGGATATCCTGCTTTGCGCATAACTTCCGTGTTTGGGATGCGGGAGTGTAGGATGCTTTGACGCGAACCACTCTTCTTAGGAACCGAATGAAGAAAGCATCCACCCTGTCTAGTTGTTTTTGCGTAAGAGTGAGGGTATCCAACGCGTAAATAAGTGTGGGCGTGAAGGTAGACTGGAAAATACGTAAACGTACCGCCTGGGAAAGGCTACTGTTCCATACTAAGCGGAGCTTCTTAAATGCTTCCTCGGCTATAGCTGCTCTATGTAAGAATGCGGCGTCAAAGGGTTTTTTCCATGTGATCCTGGTGCCTAAATACTTGATTTGCGGTGTGGTCGGGACGGCCGCGCCATCCGTAAAGTACAGCGGAGAGGAGGGGCGATCGGGATTGATTAGGAGCTCAGTCTTGGTTTTATTTAGGTGCATACCGTATTCATGTGCTACTGACTCTAATGATGTGAGAATGTCCTGCATCTGCGGTGTGGTCAAGGCTAACAACAATGTGTCATCCGCGTACTCTAAATCGAACGTTGGATAGCCTTCTGACCAGGTATTGGTGGGCGTGCCTTGGAGTAGTAAGTCGTTATCAACATCCGCAAGCATGACTGTGAGTACTATAATAAATAGATGGGCTTAGGGGACATCCTTGCCTAATACCTGAGTGTACAGAGCCTGCTGCGGCGGTGTGATCAGGTCCTCTGGTGTAAAAGGTTGGAGACTGATATATTGCCTGTATTGTCTTGAGCATAAGTTCTGAAACACCGAAACGGCGCAACGCTTCGAGCATGGCGGTGTGGTCGAGTGAGTCAAAGGCCTGCTTCCAGTCTAGGAATAATAGTTGTAATGGTTTATTTGTCATTTCCGCCCACTCCATGGCGCGGCGTAAAACAAATATGGGCTGTTGTGTGCCTCTACCTTCTCGAAAACCGTACTGTCGACTGCGAAGGAAATGCTCACTTGATTTTGCGAGGCGGTGTTGCAGCATAGCAGCGTATATTTTGTAAATGGTGTTAAGTAAAGAAATGGGTCGATAGTTGGTGACGTCTGTGTCTAGACCTTTACCCTTATATATTGACACTACTATTGCTTCGGCCCATGGTCCCGGGATGTCGCCTTCCTCCCAACATTTGTTGTAGATACTCAAGAGCGCTGCTTCTCCTTCCCTGTCTAATAGCATAAACAGCTCGTTCCTCACCTGGTCCGGTCCCGGAGCCTTTCCGCCTTTACTTTTTTGAATGGCCCGTTGAAGGTCGTCCAAAGTGAACCGTCCTTCATCAGGGAGTTGTGGACGTAATCCCGGTCTAGCTCTACGTCTAGCGGCGGTGTGGTCAGGAATGTTGGGCGGAGCCCATTGCGAACCCTCGAGGTGATCCCTGAAAGCGGCGTGCGATTTTGACCATGGGACTGGCTTCCCGTTTACAATTGGATGCGATTTTTTCCCCACGAAACCTTTTTTCTGTCGGCGAACTGCATTCCAAAGCGGTGAGTGACTGGCATCCGGGTCTGCTAAAAGTTGGTCATGAACCCAGTCGATTCTATCCCTGCGCGCTGCCCTCTTGGCTTTGTTTCTTTGCGTTTTCCAATCTTCGTGACCGTCCGCTTGCGCTGCCCGTGCCTGGGCCAGGAGCTGTAGGGTGTGGTCTTTGATCCATGGTGTGTGCGCGCGTCGTTCTTTGTAAGGAAAGTGATCCGCCGCAGCCTGCTTCATGGCGTGCACCATGGTGTCCGCTGACATGGTGGGGGTGTGGTCCTGGGGCGGAGTGTCCGGGGGAACCATTTTACTTCCGCCGTTGCGCCCCTGTGTACGCCCAGCGTTGGCGAGTGCATCCGCCTTTTCGTTACCTTCTGTGCCTGCGTGCGCCTTGACCCAATGGAACGAGACTGTCATTCCTGTTTGTGTTGAGAGTGTGTGTGCACGGCCAACTAGTGTTTTATGTGATTTTGCACGCCACCTGCCCGTAATGACGTTGATGGCCCACTGGCTGTCCGAGTATATATCTGCTCTACCGCACCCTTGCTCCAAGGCGTATAATAGTGCCTCTATAATAGCTGTCAGCTCCCCAGTGTTGTTAGAACCGACCTGGGCCCCGTAGTAAAATCTGGCGGTGTGGTCAGTTTCCACCCTGCCCCGCGCGGTGATCCACTCCCCGTGTTGCTTGGTACACCATCCCCAGCCCGCTGGTGTTGTTTTTGTGCATCGTCCACCTGTTCCCGAGCCGTCCGTATAGAAGCTCATTCTGGCGGTGTGGTCAGGGTCAGAAGACCCATCCTTACGGCTACTTTGCGGGGAGCCCCGAATTTGTGCGTTATAAGCCAGTCTTTGATCAATGTTTACTCTAGAAAAGTCAAATTCTGGGGGCTTTGGTGGTGGGGGGTCTCTACGTGCCAACTTAACCTGCACTTCCGTTACCAGGAGATAATGGTCCGACGGGTACCCTGTATGCAATTTAGATCTACATGAGTTAACGGATGAAAGCCATTGTCTCCTAGTGAAGGTGTGGTCTAGCCGCTGAAAGCGAACGGGGTCGGGTGAGGGGTCTACTCGGGGCGGAGGAAGAGGTTGCGCCAGCGGTAAGAAGCTGCGTACTCTGGCCGCTACTTCCAAGGATTGCGATGGCATCACTCTATGTAGCTCTGAATACACCTGCTGCATGATCAAAGGATCCAAGACGTACTGCGACCAATCCTTTGGGGGGGCTGTTTTATCCCGGAAAGTGATGTGGTGAACTGGGTTGGGTGTTTTGTATGAGGCGACCTCCAGCATATCTAGAAGAAGCATTGTTCGAACGCACAACGAGCGGTTGGATTGGGCGGTGTGGTCGATAGCTTGCGAACCCTTTCCGTATGTGAATGGCCCTGTAACGCCCTCATCATGTTTGTGTTGTGCTTGAAACCGAATATTAAAATCACCCGTAAGATACACTGGTTCTGGTTGGGGTATTTTCGCCACATATTCCTCTAGGGATTCCCAAAACGGTTGCCGAACTGTGTCATGATCATGACCTGAATGTGGCGCATACGCTCCTAACAAGTGTATCCTACCTCCCCTCTTGTTGAGTATGATATGAATAAGCCTATTGTTGACCTGGACTATGTCAGCAAGGTGTGGTCGGATGTCTGGACTCACTATAACCCCTACCCCAGAGTGCTTATCTTTGTTGTTACCAGACAAAACGACTAAGTGTTGCTCTGAGGTATAGGAGTAATACGAAGTCGATTTAGTTTCTGAGAGGAACATGACATCCAGATTGTGTTCCTTCATCATAAGCAACAGATTTTTGAGCTTGAGGGTATCAGCCATACCTTGCACATTCTGACTACCGACTCTAAGCTTGCGATTGTAAGCTAGAGGCGGTGTGGTCTGGGGCCCATTCTGTTTAGGCTTCTTTTTCCGTGTGATTTTTTGCTGCCATAGGACGTTTGTCCTGAACCACTGTGCCCTGTTTTGGGGGGCTTTTGTGGACTGGGGGGGTGTGGCTGCTGAGGAGTCCGCCCTCAGAGCCTTTGTATTTTTGCAGGCCTGCTGCCATTGCCTGTAGCACCTACGAGAGGTCCTACGAGCATTGACTCCCCTGGGCCTATCAATGTGACACCCTCCCTTGTGGGGACACTCTTCGTGCTCTCCAAAAGGAGATCCCGGCTTGCCTCTCGGAGGCGGTGGTCGGCGGTATTCCAGCTGAGGATGAATTCCTTTAATTCTTCGAATTCTAGGGTGTGTTCTTCTACGAAGGGGTTTAAAATTGCGCCATGTACCATTAGCAAGGCGGGTCCTTCTACGTCTACCAGTTCTGGAGGGTGAGGACTTAAGTGGGGTGACACTAGGCGGTGTGGTCTCGGAAAGGTTGACCGACGACTCCAACCTGAACAGTGGAGGTGACTCCTTACAAACCCCTCTAAACTGAAGCAAGGTGTATTTGGAGTACTGGAGATTGGGTATTGGGCTAATTGGGAGTAAGGCCTCCAACCTAAGGGTCAACTTGGGTCGGGCGGAGGTCGTGGTATTACCCGTAATAGCATGCATAAGTTTGTTCCTAGTTCTTTGACTACAGAGGCGTTGTGCTTGGTTCTTTGCAGGGTCTAGATCGGGAGTCAGAAAAGAAAGCGAATTAACCCCTGGCTGTATGGGGGTGTGGTCATTGGCCCCTCTTCTCCTGTTAGAAAGTTTCAAAGGTGGAGTGCAGGTGCGCAACGAAAAAGAAACATGCAGAACATTGCTCTGAGCTCTGACCCTTAAAATGTCGGGGAGCGTGGTGAGCATGCTAAGAGGACCCCGTCAGGCGGTGTGGCCTTGCTTGCCTGCGCCCTTGCTCGTGGGCGGGGGGGCCTTTGCAAAAGGGTTCTCGGAACGCTCCATCTCTACGTCCTCTGCCGCGGCGGTGTGGCTAGCGGCGTCGGGTGCGACGGGCTTCCCTTGGTAGGTGGCGGCTGCTATGTCGCCCACCTGTTGTTCTGGGACGCCCATCTTTTGACAAAGTTCGTCCCAGACGAACGCAACTTGCTCCACTGCGTTGTGCTGGAGCTCAAAAGGATACGGCGAGAAATAGGAATTGTGGAGCACTACATTGGACCAATGCTTGCGGGATTTTCCCACAAAGGTCCCTTTTCCGGCGGTGTGGCCCTCATGCTTGGCCTGCCGGTAAGCGATACGCTCCATTTCATCCAATTCGAATTGCGTGCCCCAGATCACCGTATTCCAGTGTTCTGCGAAAAGCGTCTCCTCCTTACACCCCACCGTGGTAGGAGGAGAGTGCATGATACGGGTCAGCGGTGGGGACGTCTCCAACCGGGCTTGAAAGGAGCCTTCGGCTTCCTCGTAAAAAAGCCGACACCAGGCGGTGTGGTCGGGTTGAAAGTCCGGACCCTCGACTGGCTCCATAATTATGAGGCTTTTCCAAAGGATGATGAGCCTCTTTCCCTGTGTGTCAGGGTGCGCGTTCAGCACCGAAATGACAACCCTCAGTGGCATCTCGAGTTTTCGCTGCCACTGAGGTGAACAAGGTGAGACGCGGACGTGCTTGCCGGTGATAGGCACTGTGGGGGCGGTGTAGAGAGGAGTTCCGCCCTGCCCTCCGTACCGCTTTAAAAAAGCCTGCCGAAGGTCCCAGGATTTGAAGTGCAGCATCGTCATTCCACTCCAGAATGTGCCCTGGGGTACCGTGGTGGGGTCCGTGTTGAGGATATTGAACCACATCTGCGCGTGCTGGGCGGTGTGGTCGGCATCCTCGCGGAGGAACCCACGGTTGCGCAGGAAATTCTGTGCCTCTGGGAGCTGCTCGATCATCCAGCCGATCATGAACTCACGTTGCTCCGGCTTGAGACCGTTGGGCCAGCCTGTTGTGACCAGTAGCAAGCCGCACGACCTCTTCTGCTCCGAGCGGTTGTCTGCCGTCATGAAGGCCAGTTCACGGCGACAGCTAAAGACTGCGTCGTTCACCTTGAGCAACGCACTTTCAAGCTGCAGCACGAGGCCGTACATCTCAGGACGCACCACTGCCTTGTGGTACCCACGCACGATGCGCAACACGTCCTTGGCGGTGTGGACAGGAGCGGCCAAAACCTGCTGCACCGATTGCGGGTTGTTCACATCTGCGCCCAACTCACCGGCTGTGACTTGGAAGGCCGTTTCATCTTCCAGAAGGGTTGGCACCACCAATCCACTCACCGGGCCGTCTGTCGGAACTGGGGTGCCCTCCTGCGGTGTGGTCAGCCCTGAGGCGACCGGCGTGGGGGGCTCACGCCTCTTGCGACTGTGCTCCTCAAAGAACGCCCCCTGTACTGTGCGGATCTCCGTTCTGCCAGCGTAGAACTCCCTTTGCTGTTGGAAGGCTGCTTGGAACTGTTCCTGGCTTCCACGCGCTGGGTCTGTCATGGCTTCGGAGATAAGTGAAACTTGCCTCTTAGAGGCGGTGTGGCCAAAGGGAGGCCTCTCGAAAACTGGCACGTGCACTACTTGCAAGCTGGCTAGCCGAAAGCCTCAATACTGGGTTTAGGGTTTAGGGTTTAGGGTTTAGGGTTTAGGGTTTAGGGTTTAGGGTCTAAATCAGTACCATCGCTGGGTGTTGCTCCTCGTGCGGTCGTCTTGCAGAATGTAGTGTCCTCGAGTTCGGAAGAGGGACCGCTAACCACCCACCCACTGAGCCTGAACCCGAAATATCCTGTGATGTCGCCATGCTACACAAAGAAATGTTTGGAATGACCCCGCCCATTCAATGCCCACGGTCCCGATGGCAGTCTGAGAGCTACGAGACAGCATACCTGCCAAGGCTAAATCCGCCCAGAGGGTCCCTTCGTAGTACCACTATGGAATTAGATACCTCAAAAAACATACTAAACAGGGCTTTGGGGTATCTAATACCATAATGGTATCACAAATGGCATGGACCCTCTCACCGCCAAGGCTAGCAGCAGACATCTACGCCTCGCGCGCGCACTTTGTCCTCGAGCTGCTCCAGAATGCCGACGACAACGAGTATGCGGAAGGCGAGTTTTCACAGAGCTGAGCGTATACAGGCTGAATTCCCCTCATTGAATGGCTGACTCACATAGCGCAGGGATTTCTAGAGGGTACAGTCACTCTCCACAGAAACACGGACACCCGCCGTTGGCAGCAGCTTGATCAGACGTGTTTCCTGACAAGGTCTTGCTTGAGCGGCAGCTCCTGAGGTTCTTGGACTTAGAAATTAAAGTACTCAAGGTAGACCAGTTCTTGCCTGGACTACTTCAAATGCGGCCGTCGTGCTCGTAAATTCTTGACCAGGGCACCAGCCATGAGAATTGCCGCCTCCAGTTCACATGCGTGCAAGCTGTTGCGACGGTACAGGCGTTGAGCCAGAGGCCCGCTTTCTACTCCATCACGAGGCGCCGCGGGTGTTCAAGCTCCAGGGGGACAGGGTCACCTGCAGCTGAGTACTCCAGAAGTTCTTTCGCAGGCCCTCGGCAGGAGCGCTGATTCAATCCCTATAGCCTCACATACTCCAGCGAACTGCAAGCAGGCAGGCTCGCAGCCCTACATTGCCGTGGTCAACAACGAGATTGGCCTGAACGTGGACCTGGCCTGTGTTGGTTACAAGAGCAATTCTATTTAGGGGCGCTATATGACTGATGCCCGGCCTGGATGATCCTGGATGCAAAAAGGGCTTATAATTTACAGAGTCGTCAGAAGTCCTCTTGGAACCCGAATCTCAACCTTGTCACCCGGATAGAAAACTGCACTAGCAAGTTGGGGTCAGGGTTTGCAGAGGCACAAGACCTGGTTGGCATGTGCGCCATATCCAAGTCTGCGAAGAAAGAGAAGGCCTGGCTGTCCAGCCCACGTGGGTGAGATGAGAATCTGAAACCCTAAACCCTAAACTAAACCCTAAGCCCTACACCCTGTTCCCGGTGAGGCGTACATCATGTCATGCTTGGCTTCAGGCAGCACAACAACCTGGCCCGGATTCCCTATAGACCCTAAACCCTAATCCCAGGCCCTTGGCATATCCCATCTTAGCTCGGGCAGCTCCTAGGGCAAAAAATTGGTGGGAGGCCGACCGGACCGGACGCAAAGGCATCGGGTTCAAGAGCGTCTTTGCCGCAGCTGCCTCGGAGTACCTGGCCCAAACAGTTGGGCCATTTGGGCCGAGGTCAGGGCCCTAAACTATTTAGAACGTAAGATTTGTTTTGTGACTGGATGCTTGGACGAAAGTTGGGGGGAGTCTGGCGGAGTCTGAACGTCAGAGCCACACCAGCCGCCCCACTTTCTCTTGACCAAGCTTAGTTTTGTTCCCCCAGCTCATGCGCCCCATCTGGCACCTGCCTTGATGTGCTCTGCGCTGCTTGTACCATACAGGAAGCGCATGGACAAGATTGGTCATGCCATCATAGAGCGTTGGGAGACGCTGGAGCTTGAGGCTTTCTCGGCTTAAATTTACAGACTTAGAGCACCTAGCACTTCATCTTAGAGGTCTCGGAGTTTTTGGGCTCTTAAGGGGCGCTTAAGGGCAACAGACCTTAAGTACGGGATGCGTTTAGAAGAGGGAGTTGACCCTTCGGACCCCTGAAAGTCGTTTAAACCCGACATACGCCGCAGACCCCACAAAAGTCTCAGGTCTCGTCCTGTCCACACGTGCTGAGCCGCAGGGGGGCCCAGAGTCATGGTTCTAGTTCACAGGACTTGGCAAAATGGCGCGGAAAGGTTTAGGGGTTTAGGGTTTAGGGGTTTCGGGTTTAGGGTTTAGGGGTTTGGGGTTTAGGGTTTAGGGTGCCGTGTGCCTATAATTTTGAAGCTCTAAAAGCCGAGGCTCCTACACCTTCAAGTTCGACGTGCGCAATGACCGCATGGCGCCGCAGTTGGTTCTACTTGGAGGTTCATGGTATTTGTTAAGCAATTTTAACTGTATCTATAACCCACTTGTAAGCCCCTTAAGTGCCCTAATATGGTTATGAGTACAGTTTTTAGTACAGATATATTTGGCTAACAAGTACCATGAACCTCCAGGTAGAAGCCAAGGGGCTTGGGACTTGGGCTTTAGGGAGGTGGAGGGGGGAGTACTTTAATTACCGGACTTCACCTGGCACAAGGCAAACTTCTACACTATGCACTTGAAGAGGTCCTCTGCCTCTCAACTGTACAGACGATCCCTAAACTCGACCACAAACGCCAGAAGTTGAAAAGCCACAGGCCTCTTTACCAGGGATGGTTGGCATCCCTGCATGGCTCCCTCCATGCTCTTCAAAGAGTATTCTTCGGCGCAGCTTGCGACGGTTCTGCTGTTTCAGAGCAGCCAGTGACCACCCACCGGACCCTCAGTTCCCTGCATTCCCGAACGCACCGGGCAGGGCTACGTGATGCCAACTTGGGTAGATGACGAGGAGCCGGGAGAACACGCAAAGAGTTCACACTGGAGGGGGGGGGGGAGGGATACGAACCCTTATGCCCGAAGAGGTATTTTCGTGGTATAGTAGAGTGTATGCTTTCAAGTGTTGGAGCCAGGCGTCACTCCTTGCGGTGCCCAAGAAACGAAGTCCTTGCCTTGCAAAACTGAGGTTGCCTCTGGCCCAAAAAGCGCTTGAGGTACCCAGTATACCGGCCTAGTTACCCCAACACCCTACTTTCCTAAACCTCAATCCAACGCTAAACCCTAAACCATAGAGAAGCCCTATCGGCCCTAGGCCCGAAGAACTGCAAACCAATTCAGAAGGAGCTGCGCCGAATACCGGAGGAGCTTCAGCGACTGCACCAGGACCCGGCAATCTCAGCTGTTTGCACTGGATGGGTCTATTTATAGGGCTGACTATGGGGATGATAAGGCCTCGTAGCCCTTCCTGGCAGGGGACCTCTTTGACCTTGACCACGCCTCTGGTAGACATAGGGTCAGCAGTGATGTGCCTGGTGGCAGTCTGAACTGCGGTTTCAGGAAAATCTGCCGGAAATGTGAAAAACGTATGAAGCCCGAGCCCGTTGCTTGTAATGACACGCTTGAACACCAAAAACCAACGAACGGTATCTGACATGACGTGCAAAGCTCGCCTCTTGAAGGAGGGCTACACCGTGATCTACCTGCCTTTGGGTGATCCACCGGATGCTCGGCTTCTCAGCGGTCTCGTCGTCAACCTTGGTGCCCCTTTGCGCAACAGAACGGCGCCCAGGATCATGTACCCTGGGCAGAATCCCTGTTGGGGAAATCTTAGGGTAGTTGCATGGTCCCTTAATATGGTTCCTTACCTCCTTTAAGGGTTCCGAAGTGAGGGACTTTGGGGGTTGATAGGGCATGTAAGGGGCTTTTAAGGGGTCCCCTTTTTAAGGCCGATACTAAGGACCATGTAGCTAGAGGGAAGCGGACCACATTCCCAGCCATTGAGGGGTGCAGCGTATAGGTACGCTCGGTACAGTTTGTCTGAAGCCTTCAACCGAACACCTCAGTCTGGGGTTATAGGGTTTTAGGGTTCAGGCCACACTTATGGGGGTTTACGATGTTAGGGGGTACCTTTTTGGGGTCCTTGTTCTCAGGGAATCCTACTACTTAATTCCCGAAACCCTGAACCCTGAACCCTGCATGCATGGCGAGTTTGGGCCACCCTTCGAGGCCTTGCTGTCGGAAGTCGAGGGACACCTCGAGGCGGACTTGTTCTTGTGCGTAGCTTTTTTTGGCGGCAATAGTGTGGTTTTGTTAAGCAGGGTCGTGATAGTCAATGGTCATAGTATTGCTGACAATTCGCCGGCTGAGTTTTCCTATTCTGGTTATTCCCATAGATCTAGAAAAGCAAATAGCGGTGCATGATACTTGTCAAACTGCAAATTAGAAGAGTAACAAGCATAGGGTCTTCCGGCCGTATGCAAGCTGATGGGTGTGAATTGAGCATGCAAAGCGCACCTGCATACACATGCAGGTGCACCGGGGGGGCCTGACATAGATGAGCCGTGATGTAGAGAGTTTGTCACGGCTTTTGCGAGACCTAGGTAGGCAATTAAGGCGTGCATAGCGCCATTGCTTCGTATACCCCGGTAAAGATACTACATAGAGCCACAGTGTGGAACATAATTCATAAATAGCCTACTACAGAGCTTACAACACTAACCCGAAACCCCCAAAACCTTAGAGGCCCGAAGCAAAAATACTGTAAGTACACCTGTCGCCTGTTTTCTGCGAGGCCATGGACCCCGCCACGCTCCTATTCATGTCGGGGCCTCACGAAGTGAAACCCGACTCCCAAGAGCCGCCTCTTACGACACGACCAAGTGGGGAAAGAATAGGGTTTAGGGCTTGGGGGGTTTGGGTCCTGGCATGAAGGGCAGCTTCCAAGTTCAACACCTCGCATGGCTTGTGTGCGAGCAAGGTCTAGGGCTTTATAGGGCTTCACAGGACTGCCTGGGAGAGCGAGAGAGCTTATATCAAAGAATAATTCAACACACCCCAAACCCATACCCCTTAACTTCAAAAAGGAGAAGATCAGGATGGATTTTTCCATACCCCTGAACTTCTTTTAAGGGGTATATGCACCAGGGGTATGTTTCGTATTTCTTGGAATATAAGGGATTAACCCCTAAGCTCAAGGCGGCGGCTGCGGCGCATTGAGTTCCGCGGGGTGCAGCCCTCAGACTTCACCTTGAGTTAAACTCCATGCAATCCTGCCAAACTCACCCCTATAAATCCTATAAGCGTAAGCTCTGCAATGGGCAAGTTTTCTTACGGAACTTGGGCGGGTCCTGCAGAACTTAGGATGTGGGGCTCAGGTTTTCGAGATTTGGTTCTGTAAGGCTTGAGGGTCTCGTATTTAGGGCGTAAGGTTGCCAATATCAACATAGCTGCGGAAAGATTGCCTTTGTTTGACTTGTGTGTTCGAGTTCCGGCGATGCGCTGCTAGCAAAGCTGTGGCTTAGCAAGCCACAATGTATTGATGTAGCTAGCTGGGGCAGGGTTCCCGTACTGTCGTGCTGCTTGTTCAGATTCAGATAGATGAAAAGGCGACTCGAAATTTGCAGCGGCGCAGCAATGTTGAAATGTGGCTGGCGGCCATGGTTTCCTTAAACTGGTATACGTATAATAAAATATAAATAGTAACAGCGATCAATACATACAGAAATATAAATATACACTCTATATATATATATATATATAGAGAGAGAGAGAGAGAGTTGTTCTCAGAATCTATAGCCCATTACAATCCAAGGAAGCAACACCAACAGGAGGTCTTTATGGTAGTCGGGCAGTAGGTGTGTGTATATATATGTATATATGTGCATATTGTATTTATTCCCTTTCTCTGAGCTGATTGGATGTCAAGTCCGCTTCGCTACGTGGCCAAGTGCCCGAGCTTGTTTTCCAGAGGCTAGGGCATCACGCCTGAGTGCTGATGACGATGCAAGATGGAACACTGCAGCGGCAAGAACTACCAACCCGCATCGGCATCATCATCGCGTTGCAAAATTATGAAAATCACACACATGCGTGTACACACACACCTATACTTTTCAAGTTCATTCACTTACTGTGAGATGAATGCGTATATGGGGACATTGCATAGAGGACGTTGAGGCCCCCAGATCTGCTGCCATGAGCGCCACGATGACTGCAGAGGAGCTGCAGGCTCAGATCGAGGCAACCCGGCGAGACGCCGACGCGGAGGAGGCCAGATTCGTGCAGCTCGAGGCAGAGTCTGCGCAGGCCCAGGCGCGGCAGAGGCTCCGCCGGGAGCTGGAGCAGCAGGCTGAAAGGCTGGATGCGGCAAGGGAGATCAATGATGATGAAAGAAGCTACCGTCTGCAGGTCGATGAAGACATGGCTGGAGATTATTGTCCCGGTGGTCCTAGTCCGGCAATAGTTCAGACTAGAGCCAAGAGATCCTACTTGTCTCAGGCACGCGGTGAAGAAAGCATGAGTTTTGGCAGTGAGGTCGCTCGGGGCGAATATGTGTGGAAGCTTCGGCAGTTTTCATGGATGCGCAGCGCGCTGCGACAAGACTGCGAGGCTTATGCAGAATCTGATGACTTCCAGGTCGGCAGCTGTCGCTTTACTTTCAGGTACAATCCGACCGGAGGCCTGGTCTTTTCCAAAGATGGGCGGCGGTACGATGGCTCTCTCGTCATCAAAATGTGTGGTGAAATTGGAGATCTGATTCGCTACCGAATCTATGTCAGGAAGCCGTCGTGTGGGGACTTCGTGCAGTGGAGTGCAATGGCCGAAGTAATTCACAGTCCTTATCTGATCCCTCCTATCTACGGCCCCGATGTTCACTTGCACGGCTCCCCACACTCCGGGGTAGGAATCTTCGGTCTGACGTTTGAAGAGCTGCTGCAGTCGGAGTGGGTTGAAGACGACACTTTGACCTTGAAGTTCGTGCTGGAAGTTCGGCCATATGATTCTTGTACAAAGCACACGGATGCAGTGAAGGTCCCAGAGCCTACTATGACTCTAGACAATCGAGCTTTGCTGGAGGAAGCTGTGGGCAGCGATGTGCAGTTTACTGTGCAGGGTGAAGTCATCCAGGCTCACTCACAAGTTCTCTGTGCCAGATCCGAGGTTTTCAGGAAGCAGCTGACCGGCGGCATGCAAGAGAGTGTGTCGAAAAACATCACGATCGAGGACTCTGATGTCGCAACCTTCAAGGCGTTCCTACAGTTCCTCTACACCGACAACCTCCCAGATGTCCAGGAGCTTATTCCGGCTGGGACGTCAAGCCAGAGCGATGACGGGAGCAGCAGTAGGCAGCTGTCGCAGCTTCAGGCCCTCCTGGCCGTGAGCAACAAGTATCAGGCCACGCGGCTGCAGCTCTGGTGTGAGGCGAAGCTGTGTGAGGAGCTCAACACATCACAGGTCTGCAGCATCCTCTGCCAAGCGCATCTCTTCCAAGCCAAGCAACTCGAGAGGGCCTGCTTGTCTCACATCAAGGGCCACATGGCCGAGGTTCTCAAGCTCCCGGCCTACACCGAGCTCGTGGCAAAGTGGCCCGAGATCGGCGTGGAGGTCAGCCTCTTCTTGGCCGGTATGCCACAGGCTGAGGCGAGTGAAGTGGCCCAGGCCTCCAAAGTTCGAAGGTTGGAGGCTGGCAAGGAGCGGACCTTTGGGCCCTAAGGGGTTTAGGGTTTAGGGTTTAGGGTTTAGGGTTTAGGGTTAAGGCCTCAGTCCGGCTGCAAAAAAAGGGTTAAGGACTCCGAGGGGACCACGGGACCGGAGGGCTTTTGAAGCAAGCTGGGGGAAAAAAATGGCACCGTGGTCTGCCGATTCGTGCCCCCTTCTCCCCGCAACGATGAAGGTACCCGGAATGTACTCCTGAAACCGGTGCTGCTTCAGATCTCCGGCTTCCTTCAGGTTTAGGTTTGGAAAGGGTTTAGGGTTTGGCGTTTAGGCACAAGAGCACATAGGAGGTTCAGGGGGGCTTTAGGGGGTTTAGGGGCTTTAGGGGGTTTAAACCCTCAACCCCCCTGTGCATGGCAGACTCACCCACCTTGGAAGGTGAGTGGCTGCCGGATGAGCTTTCGAGCCCAGGACCTCCGTGGGCCTTTGTCGGACTTGACAAGCTTGGGCCGGCTTACTGGGGGCTCATTAGGGTTGCAAGCGGCACAGAGTATCGCAGGTCCTGCTTGAGCCCTGAAACCCTTTAACCCTTAAAGCCACAAACCCTTGCTTGAACCCTTAAACCCTTGAACCCCTTTAACCCCTAAACCATAAAAACCCTCTGATAGGTGCGAGGCAGTGGAGGACTGCAAAGAGAAGTCGTCAGCGCAGAGGAATGCAAGGCCCGGCAGGATGCTTTCTGCCCTTTTGGGGGGCTCCTGAAATCGGAACTAAAGTATTTGGGGCGCGGGGCGGGGGGGTTATTTGGGGAAATGCGCAGACGCGGGTCTCTGTCCTGATGCGGCGTCTTCTTTTTTCTCATATCTGGTGTACCACCTTCATGTAGAGAGCCATATCGGCACGTTCAGTCTGAGAGGCCCCCCCCCAACGAGCGTACAGTGGGATCTGGGGCTGCTGCGGCTCAGGGTTTGTGGAGTTTAGGGTTTGGGTTTAGGGTTTAGGGTTTAGGGTTTAGGGTTTAGGGTTTAGGGTTTAGGGTTTAGGGTTTAGGGTTTAGGGTTTAGGGAGTGGTGTTTGGCTGTTTGGCATGTAGGCCAGACGCCAGAAGCATGGGGGGGGGGGGGGGGGGGGGGGGGGGTCGGATGCTTGCCAGGGGAGGGAGCTGGCTGGCGAAGTTGCCTGGATCGTTAGGACTAACTTTGTCTAGGACCCGGAGTAGGCCCTTATTTCCGTTTTTTCGGGGTGGGGTTCCCTTGGACATCCCCTTAACGCCAAAAAAAGGGTACCCTTTGTATTCATAGGTTGCTGCTAGGTCTAGTTGTTCACTGGTACATGACTCCCTGTTGACACGGTCTCTGTCGCATGCTTCTCATGGGCCAGAGTATGCCGTGATAAAAGCATCAGGCGGAGCGGGAGACGATGAGGCCAGCAGGGGGCCCTGCTCCCTGAATCCCTAGCCCCCAAACCCACCACAAAATCTTTTCAGCAAAAAGGGTCCTAGACGTTGGAAACCAATTTTCTCACAGCTACCAGCAAGTCGCATCTATAAAGGGGAACCAAGTTAGACAGTGAAACAGTGTATTTGAGGGCTATTGTGGGCTTTGGTGTTTGGGTTTGCTTATTTATACATATTCTTGCATACTAATGTAAATAATACAAGATTAGGTTGTATATTCCATTTCCATATAGCACTCTCATGCAGGACCTTTGAGTATTATGTCGGCAGACGGCTGACGCAGAGCGGCGTCCTGAGACACTAAACCTTGTAGTCTTGAGACTGCGGCTGGGTCTAGGGCCTAAGAGGAACCGCTGGCTTCTGAGGCCAACCTCCCAATTCACGCCGAACAGGGGACTCTCCAGACATCAAGCCCATTGATGATGTGACCTCATGTTGTTTCGTGGCGTATCGAAGCCTCCGCAACTCTGATATTGGATGAATCATATTGTATTGCTTATGTTCTAAACTGCATTATCCTGAGTATCGGTATTGAGTATTTTTTTGCATGTACTTCTGGAGTTCTTTTTGGCATCATCTCGAGGCGTTTTCGGCGAGGCGTGCACAAAGCGGCCCCTCGCCCTGGCAGGGCAGCCCAGCCATGGCTTCCCTTTCTGGAGGCCAATTGAGGGGCTTTAGGGTTTGTAAGATGCAGGATTGTTAAGGTTTAGGCCTTTTGCAGGTTTAGGTAGGTGTCATGAGTGTGTTTTGAAGGTTTAGGGCTTGATGAAGGGCTTTCTTATAGGGTTTGTGGCAGCTCTGCAGGCGGTCTCGTAGGTGTACCGGCACACTGGATCAGCAGTAACGGGTCGTTTGTCGTTTGCAGAGGTCGCTCTCTTCGAACTTGGGTTTCGCATGAAGCTAATCCTTAGACGGTCTTCGGGAATGGCAACACGTAGCATCAGAGCTACCCGGGACCTCGAACCTAGCTCTGGCCGGAGTTCGGCGGGAACCGTGGGAACTCATAACCTAAACCCGACATCAAAGACACCCAAGCCATCCTGGCACACATCGACCCTGAATTTGCGCCATAAGTCGAAGTCTCAAGGAGTCCTCGAGCCCGAAATTCAGCCCCCCAACTCCATGTAATTAGGCCCTGCCTGTGCCCGAGTCTGCAGGAGCGCCAGCCCCAGCTTCGGAGATTCGGGTTAGGGGTTTAGGGTTTGGGTTTTTTTTTTGGTTTTTTGGGTGTGATGAACCAGTAGCCCGAACACAGTCCTGGTCCATTCTGAAGAGAGTTCCAGCAGCTTCCCAGCTCCTCAGAACTCTCTGCTGGTGGATGTAGAAGATGAGGGTAGGTCCGTGACAATAAGGATCCTGATTCCTTCCTATTCCGCAACAAGCTCAAACGTGCACACTGAGGCTGTGGGCTCTAACTTACAACCAAGCCTCTCAGCTGGTCTTCTACCGGGGCAGTGGTGTGTAGGCCCAGATTGTGTACAGTTTCAGGGCACTCCGCTGTGCAGTTTGGGGGGGGGAGGGGGGGGGGGTGTGCGACGTCTCCTCTAGGAGCATAAACGCTTGCAGCTGCCAGCCCTAAAGCAAATCAAGCACTCAACCACAACGGAACCCTAAAATCCGAAAACGCCAACTAAATACCCTGTGATGGTCTTCGAGGTTCCTCAACGTGCTTTCGCTACACTTCCGTCCTAGCCTGAGAGGTCCTTGCTGCTTTGGTTGGCTTAGAGTTTACGTAGGGTTTAGGGACAAGGGCTTAGGGGTTAGGGTTTAGGGACAAGGGTAAGGGTTTATAGGGTTTAGGGTTTAGGGTTTAAGTTTAGGTTTTCGGGCTTCCGGGGCTCATGCACGAGTTTCCGGCAGGCCTCAGCCTGTTTGTTAAGGAGCGGCAAGAGAGCTCATAAGCCTCAGTCAGAGTGTACCGGTGTAGGTCAGGTTTGGTGTCTTATTCCGCAGGCTTCTAGGTGCTCCTGGTGCCCCCGGGATTTGGAGGTTGAAGTCCTTCTCTGTTATTCCGCCTGCCCGTCTCGATTTATGGATGAAGTAGGTTCTCATGTCTGGGGTGAGTGCTTGCAGTAGTCTGCCCAGGCTTTGCCACACAGGACTTGGTGTGTGCATCAATGCTACTCGACTGCATTTGGCGGCCAGCAGGAGCCAGCAGGATTTCTCACCGGCCAAACGGCTCAAGCGTGCAAACATGTGCCGAGGCCGACTGGGACGTCTCAGCCTGGACCTCGATCGCTGGATGGATGTCTCAGGGCCCGGCTGCACTCCAGTCCTGCCACGCCGAACCCCTGAGGTCGAGCATATACCCCTCTATCCCCTAAACCCTAAACCCTCAACCTTCCGAGGCGTCCCGGGATGGTGTCCATGAAAATGCCCACAACGAGCAGCTGGCGGTCGAAACGGCCAAGGTTCCTATGCCAAGTTGGAGGGGTGCCAATCACGGCTGCACGGGAATTTCTCTAAACGAAAGCAAAATCTTTTTGGTAAAAGTTTACACAGCTAGACAGGAGGCTCCAAGACTCCGCATGATAACCGGAACCCCCTCCCCCTCCCCATAAGAGACTACAACCCCACCTGCCCAACGTGGACCTTTGCCATGAAGCTCTTAACTTCACGCCCGAAGGCTTTTGCAGAGATCGCGCAAGAGCTGGGTTCGCGGCTGCCTGCTTCCCGGTATGTCCAACAGCACGTTTAGACCTTAGGGCTCGGGCTGAGGAGCTGAGACGGTAGGGGTTTGGGGTTTTAGGGTGTATGCCCTTCCCGTCACATGCCTCGGCCTCAGCACGGGTTCCAAAAAAGGGTGTAGGGTTTGAGGCACTTGAGAGAAACCTCTCTGAAACGAGTTCAGGGTTTGGGGTTTAGGATTTAGTTAGGTTGGGCAGTGGTCCCGGACTCCCAGCTCAGGCTCCTACTAGGACCACCAGCAGTACAAAGGATCGAGCGGTGGAGTCGAGACCGAACCAAGCACACGGCCATTAACACACGGAGGACCCCCAGTAGCAGACATGCTTCTTAACCCTAAGATGCTAAAACCCCAAAAAACCCAACAGCCTAACCCCCCTACACCCCCAAACCATGTCCACCAGCCTGTTTGCCCAGACTGCCGGCTTCCCCCGTTGACTATTTGGGAGATCGTGCTCCTTTGTCCCGTCGGCATCCCAGAACCGCAAGCCTCGGGGTAGCTGAGGGAAACAAAGGTCCCTACTAGGACTTCACCATGCCTCCATGACTCAATGGAACCGACTACTACAACCCGAGCTTCTAGTTCCCTATTTGCTTGAACCCCCTCAAGAAATCGTAAAAAACAATCCCTGTATTGCCCTATAAGGAGGATTGTTTTGTATTTTTTGTGGGGTTCTGAAGCAAATTAGTAGTTTCCCAACCCCTGCCAAGAACCAGGGAGTTCAGAGATTTCAGGCTCGGCAGTTTACCCGGATTTCGGCTCTTCCCTGCAGGTTTCTGGCGCCGCGTGCGTGACAGGCCGGCCTTGAGGTTGGCTGTAGAGGCTTTCGATGCGCCATCGGTTCACAAGCTTCGTGGTAGAGTAGATAACCTTTAACCTTTTGGGGGTATTATAATCCTTACATAAAATCCCTAA